TTTCTTTCTTTCTTTCTATCCTTCTTTCTCTTTCTTTTTTCTTTCTTTTCTTTCTTTCTTTCTATCCTTCTTTCTCTTTCTTTTTTCTTTCTTTTCTTTCTTTCTTTCTCTTTCTCTCTTTCTCTCCTTCTCTCTCTCTCTCTTTCTCTTTCCTTCTCTCTCTTTCTTTCTTCTTTCAAGGGAAGTATCTCTGCATGGAGATCTCATTTCTAAAGGTGTGGAGAGATAACAGGGCAGCTTTCACCAAGATACGGTTGACTTAAACCAACTGAGCTGCCTGATCTTACTAACATTCTGCATCCATTCTCTCCTCTGCAGTTTTCAAATGGAAGACCATGTCCACTATATCCTTACCAAGTCCCATTCTTTCCCCTGGTTGACTTTTACTAGTTCATAAGCTACCAGTTTAGATATCATTTGATATGATTTCCCTGGCATAAGACTGTCTTATGCCTTAAGACTGGATGAGGCACCCCCCATGTGAATCTTCTCCCATGAGATTCTCTACCCTTATTTGCAGTGATCAGCCTGTATGGTGATAAGCTATGTCTTTTTATTTCCTGTTGGACAGTAAGTCAGGAGAGCACAGACTAAGCACCCAGTTGTGCTTTGCACATCATTGCCCTTCAATGAACACGTGTTTCATGACTAAATTTTTAAAAACTTAATAATATTTCCAAAGTTTTTAAGGCATTTCGAAGTTCAAAAACAGCATAGAGTGGTCACATTGGTTCTCATCACCCCATCTTTTGCGGTTTATTGAAAGGAATGCATACATGCTCTCATTTCACAAATGTATGATTATGTGGACCAAATTTTTAACAGAATTTGGCAAAACACCAGAGCCAGGTTACATTCTCAAGCAGCTGAGCAGCTGCAGGTTTCATCACAGTATTATTAATGGCTTTATTTTCCCATCACTGTTGCACCATTATGCCCTTTGCAAAATTCATCAAAGGCACAATCTCTGCCCTGAGGTTTTGGATTTTATCATTCCACTGCCTGAAGTCATCCATCTGAGAAGCCAGGTAATACACTCCTACCTCTGAAGGGTGTTTGTTGAACATCATTAAGCAATGCTCAACTGTCTTCAATGTGAAGACTCATTCAAGTGAGCATGTTCCTCATTTGTTCTATTAATAATTATACCCATGTTTCAGCGAGGTGGCTAAGACCACAGAGCATTTGATTTGCAAGGATTTTGCATGCAGCGCAAAGCCTATTGTCTCTAAATGTAAAGTATCAATAGGAGGCATTAAAATGTCAGCACCTTTTCAGGGATTTTGCTCTTTAAAACGGCTACAAAAGAGTCCTCCGAATACATCACTGTAGACCAAGTTATAGTCTAAGCATTAGATCAGCTAGGAGCCTCCAGAGAGTTCCCGAAGTGTGAGGAACAAGTGTTTTAAATGGTGGGGTGACATGGTGGGAAGGGGTCCTGGGAGAATCTGAATTTGCCGGGCACTCCCACCCCCCAACTTGGCAGTTGATCAACTTGACACTTCCCGGCTCTAATTTTCTTCCTCCTCGTTTTTATTTCACGGCATTCCCAATTATGCATCTGCCAGGAAAGGAAGAAATGGAATTTCAATACAGAAAAGACCAGGCCACTTCTTTTTGGATGAGACACTTCTGCACAAAGAGCCAATGGGTCACATCTTCCGCTGGTTCGGAGATGCCTCCAGGACAACCAAGCAAGGTCGAGCGACAGCACCAGCCTCTCTGACTTCGCTTTTTCCTCAGCGGCCACACGATTTCTCAGCTGCCCGGGGGGATCATCTATAACAGGCCATTTTATTTGGTAAATGTTTCCCTACTTACTGAAGAGTGTTCATTATTAATGACCAGAAAGGGAACTCCTGCCTCCCGTGGCAGAAGTTGATACATTTGCTTTGTATAATTGCTGTATATAGTTAGCCATGTGGTTGTGCAGCTGAAATAAATTGCCTTCTTCCCATAAGAGCCTCCCTGAGTGTCACGGCAGAGCTAGAGGGAAGCTGGCTGCAGAGACTAATCTCTTCGCTAACGCTGTAGATGATTCCAGAAGCTGAAGACAGATGGCAAGTTTGAGATGAATAGCATTTTTTAATGGCTTCAAAATAGCTGTGTCTGTAAACAGCTTTTCTGAATGACAGTATGTACTACAATTTGTCTATTGCTGCTCTTTTTAGATCTTCTGAGAGCTTTCCCCTGTCCCTCTGTTAGGACAACACTGATTCTCACTTCAAAAGGGGAAAATCTAGAATGTTTGGAGCAAGTGGAATGAAAGCGTAAGAATTTTGACCTGCAAATAAATGACAGGTATCCTCCAAACACAGCAGTCTCTTGTAACCTGGAATTAGAAGAAAGTAATTCCATGTTGAGATTTAAGAGCAAGAGTTGAACTCTGAACTCTGAAATGAAATAGGCCCAAAGATTAGGAGAAAAGGTTATGATAAGACAACACACCTTGGTCTGTCTCCAATTATTAAGAATTCACATTCCACCAATGAGATTAATCCTTCGTCATTCATGCAAATGGTTTGGGAAATGCTCCTATGGATGAGAATATGGGTATTCCTCATAGGCTATCAGGGAAAAATGATTAGTATAAAAGGTAATCAGGGCCAGGCATGGTGACTCATGCCTGTAATCCCAACACTTTGGGAAGCTGAGGCAGGTGGATCACTTGAGGTTGGGAGTTTGAGACCAGCTGGGGTAACATGGTGAAACCCCATCTCTACTGAAAAAAAAAAAAAAAAGGTAATCAGTGTTGATAATTAAGAAATAAGTTCATACCTCTAATTTCCAATTTGTACAAATGTCTACTAAAAAGGCATGTTTCCCATAAGAAACCACTTTAGAGGGGCATAGTAGAGTAGTTAATACAAAATGCTAGCATTTCTTACAAAGTAGCAGATACCACAAGCCCGAAAATAAAGATTGAGAATTAAACAGAAGGGAGGTTCGATAGGAGTAATGATTTTATGTTTAAATAAGAATAGTCACAAACCAATTACAGAAAAAGTTAAACCATGCTCAGATTTTTTGCTTCTGATATTGGAGGTGAAAAGATATAGAAAGCTGTTCTTTTTTATTCTGTATTACATCATTTTTTCAAAACACACACAAGTGCTAGCAATTAGTGACCACTTGACATTTATGCTTGTTTTAGTAAAGCATTATAGTTGCTTTACTATAGAGAGTTGGAATGACTCTCTCTTTCTGTCTCTGAAATCTGAAATAAGACTGGCTTGTTTTCCCATATTCATTTAGCTTCGCAAATCTTTATTAATTGCCTGCAATGTCCAAAGCATTTGTAACAATGACCATACTTTACAAGCCCCAAAGTGGGTCAAGAGTACTTATTTGCATAGCAGGATGAAATGTTTAAAATTGAGACTGCCTCCAAAATTCAAGTCAAAAGCTTGGTGCCAAGAGCTGAAAGGAAAAATAAGAAAGTTACTCTAAAGTTTATGTACAGAGGAATTAAATGCACGCGCACGCGCACACACACACGCGCGCATACACAAAATTCAGTTGCTGCTAAAGTAATTAGGGTTTTTGCTATTAAAAATAGTGGATGGCAAGGTAAAGCAGGTGACTCAAGAAGACATGACCAGCACTGTGTGGTCATCATGTATCCAGAGTCCCAGGTCCGCCACTGGCTGCTTGTGTGACTCTGAGCAGGTCCTGGGACCTCTGTGAAGCCTGGTTTGGAGAGAACACTAGCCATTCAACAGGTGTGTTGTGGGGAACCCAGGAACTGTGTCTGTCACATAAGAGCTGTTCTAAAAAAATGTTTTAAATACCCTCTGGATTCGAAAGAGGAAGTCGCATTAGCTTGGAGAAAGCTAAACAGGAAAGGAGGCATTCTTTCCTAAAGGTGGTATATGAGAGCTCCGAGGGGTAAGTTTTCTGTGGCTTGAGGCTATGCTGGGGAGAAAGGAGATGTGTCTGTCTCAAGAAGGCAAAGAATCAGTAAAGCTTCCAATGCTCCTACACCATTTGCAGTTCTGAAGACA